CTAACCCCTAACCCCTAACCCCTAACCCCTAACCCCTAACCCCTAACCCCTAACCCCTAACAATTCATTATTCGATACCTCCTTCAGTACCTTCACTGAAAATCATTAATCGATACCTCCCTTATCCGGTGTTCTTGATGGCAATCCACATGGTCTTTAATCGATACCTTCCTTCCTGTCATTATTCGATACCATCTTGTAACCTTGCAATTAGTATGTTATCATTCGATACGTCATTGTGTTTAGTCTTACCTTCTGGTTATTCGATTTCTTACTAGATCAATATTTGATACATTTCTATCTGTGATTACTCGACACTCCAAAGTTCATTAAAGCTCATTATTCGATAACTCCTTTCTCCATACCTCCTTTCCAACCATTTATTGTTACCACCTTTGTCTGGTTAGTATTCGATGCTACACCTGCCTAATCATTCGGTACCATTCGGTCTCCCTATTGTTATTTGATACCTTTAATCAATAAATTGTTATCACCATTTGGAAACAAAGATTCGATACCAGCCGCATGCGTGTTTATTATTTGATTATTATTTTACACCCTAACCCTAATTTAGATAACTCTTAGGAGTCATCATCAGACCCTGGCACTATTCGCTACGTATAATATATAGGTGCAATTATCATTCAATACTGTGACCTTCGACTTTTTGTTGATTGATTTTTTGTTCATTGATATTTTTACATTATCACCAAATTTAATGAGCTAGCAGAATACCGCTATGGTGACGAGCACAAGACGTGAAGTGAATTGACAAGGAACCACCTTATGTCGTGTTCATATATTAAGTATCTCGATTCGTCTATATACTCGGTGTACTAACAGTTATATTATATTATGGTTTTGCTTAGAATATTTTATATCTATTTTTTGTTCATTTCGAAAAATGTGCTTTCAAAGAGCTTACTAAGGTTAGAAAAACATTTCTTAATATTTCGACATTTAACGGTTTTGCTAGATTTGTCTTTCACTTATTTAAGCGGCTTTTCTATTTTTCTGTTTGCTGTTGTTTAACAAGACTTTTAAAGGTAATTGTTTCCCTTACTCAAGCAGTTATTTTGGGTTGCTGTTACCTACTTCATAAAAGAGGACTCGTCTAGTATTGAGACTGTGTTCTACTGTCAAAATCAACTGTGGTTTGTCTCTTTTAAATCTTAAACATTTTACTTGTGAGGTGCCGTTCTGTTGAAAGAAAAAAATTAGGCCAAATGATCGGTTAATGAGACTCGTGGAGCAAGGGCTGGAGATGAAGGGAAATGACTGAGGAAATGGCTTTTGAGAGAATACTTTTCAAAGATTTATGGAACCTGAAACCTTTAACCAAGTACATTTGAATACCATTTATTATTACGTGTGAACTCTCCGTTTCCCCTGCCTATTTTTCGCTACTTTCTCTCTCTGTCTTTCTCTATCTATCTATCTATCTATCTATCTATCTATCTATCTCTCTCTCTCTCTCTCTCTCT